AGGTATACCAGGTCCCGGGATTGTCAAGGTTAAGGGACAAATGACCATGTCTGACATCCTGGGCTTGTCATCTCACAGGGACAAAGATGCACCAACAAGGAATGTATAAGCACGGCCCGGTTTCCCCCGTCACAGTGCTTCCTAACCGTAACAGGGCAGAGGGTCACTCTGGAAGCCGCAGCAGGGGTTAAGAGCACGGGCCCGGGCTTAGGACTGCCGGGTTCACATCCTCACTCGATGCCCTGCTTTTCTCATCTGTAAAGTGGGTTGCTGTGAGGATTACACGCTGCAATGCAGGGGTGCTGCTCAGCACAGACCCAGCACGTGGTGAGACTCCTGATTGGGACAACTGTAAAAAGATGATTGTGCTGAGTCTGGAGGGCAGGTGGGGCCCTCTCGGGTGGATGGGGGTCGGGGGACTGAGCAAAACGCTGAGGTTGAAGGGAACACGGTCCCTGAGGCGGGGAAGAACAGAGCGTATGTGATGGTGCTGCGGGGCCGGGGGCAGGGCTGAGCGAGTGACGCATCATCTCAGACACGGAGACCAGGGAAGGTCTAGAGCAGGAGCCCACAGGGGTCTGATGTCATCTCAGGAAGGGGTGAGACACAGCGCAGAGGAAGGGCAGGAGGGAGAGAGGGAGGGAGGGAGGGAACTTCTGGGCAGACATGAGGGTCTCCGTGAGGAGCGCGCAGACCAAGCTGCAGGTGGGTGGGTGCAGCCCTGTGGTGCCCTGCCTCTCAGAAACCTCATGGCTGGCAATGAGGAGGAACCCTCGAGCAGAGCCAACAAATCCCCTACGTCCAGGAACCTCCTGCTGGAACAGCCCGTTTGTCCCACTACGGGCAGCAAAGCCCCGCAAGCCACAGACAGACCTGGGCTCCAATTGCTCTTCACCTACTCAACCTGCCAGGCACCTGACCCCCTGCATCCCGCTGTCCTGACCCACAGCATGAACAGGGACACCAGCCTCCCAAGGGTGAAAGAATTCAAAGTGCATGCACTTCCCGATCACGGGCACAGCATGGAGGAGGGGCCTGTGCGCATCACGCTTACGCATCTTCCTGAGGAGGGGTCTGGAAGGCTTCCCTACTCTGGGATGACCTATATTGGCCCCTGAGGTATTTTGATACCCATGAAATCAAGGACCCGATCCCCAGCCCAACCTACTGACTGTCCTAATAGGCAGCTAGACATCAGGGAAGGAATAGGGTAGCCAGAAAGAAGCAGCCAGACAGCTTGGGGGAGGGACAAGGCTGGGGACAGGGTCCCAACACCTAGTCAACCAAGAGCTCAGCCAACCAAAGCTGGGGATGGGGTCCCAAGAGCCCAGCCAACTTTGAGGCAGGGCCTGACCTGTCCCAAAGGCATTTTTTTCCTCTGAATTCTCCAGCCCAGACCGCCTAGGGAATGTAAAGAATCCTCTCTCCACTCCTGCCTCCTCCCCTGTCTGGAGCCTTCTAAGTGCTGGGTTTTTTCCTCTCGAAACAGCAGTAGCATGACATAGGAATGCAACATTAGGGCCCACTGGCCCCCTCTTCCCGCCGCACGCCGGCCAAGCTGATAGATGAGTGGAAAAGATGACACTCAGGATCACCCCCACCCCTTCTAGGACCAGCAGGCCTCCCTTCCATGATGGAAGAAGTCTGGGCAACAGAGGCACCACAGCCAGGATCAGCCTCAAGGAGGCAACCGAGGCGGAGGGGGGTGGGGACAGGCTGGAAAACCAGGCAGGCGCACAGCTGCTACAATGAGGCCACAGCAAGCTCTCCTGATCAAAGCTGCGCTGCGTGGTGGCGGCAACCACAGGTCCTAAGCACAACAGCAGCTCATTCTGTGGAGGTGGAACTGCCATGGGCTGGGCAAGAGAAAGGAACCCACACAGAGGTGCAGCAGTGGGGTGAGAACAAAATATCCCTGAGATTCTTAACTCTGCCCATGGCCGTGACCTTGGGTCAGGCTTACCCTTTCGTAGGTAGATTTGTCAGAGGACGGAGAAGTCAGAGCTGTGGAAAGAGCTGGGCACTCTGCTGGCATTCGTTAAATGTCTGTTGAACTGAACAGCTGAAGGAGGCCATGAGGCTGTATCTACCCAACATGTATCGAAATATGAGTTAAACAAATGGGGAAACGAATGAAGGAAGGACTCAGTGGCTATGGCTTTTGTCCTAAGTGAGATCTGCCACCAAACATAGCTGTCTACTCACTGAGCTGTTTTTAAGCACAGAAGTGGCCTATGCTCAAATCTGGGCCTGCAGCATAATGTCTGACATAAACAGGGTACACAATAAATGTGCACTGGAAAAAAAAATCAATGATTGATTGCAAAGACAGAAAATAGATGGTGACTGCCACGGGCTAGCATGAGTGGAGGGGATGTCATTCTTTAATGGGAACAGAGTTTCAGTTTTGCAAGATGAGTTCTGGAGATGTGGATTCACTTGACTTAATCATTCCACAATGTGTATATATATATATACATCTTTTACATCATAAATATAATTTTTCATCTGTCAATTAAAAATTGATAATTTAAAAAAAGAGTTCTCAAGATAGATGATGGTGATGTTTGCACAAAAATGTGAATGTACTTACTGCCACCAAACTATACACTTAAACATGATTAAGATGGAAAATTTTATGTTGTGTGTGTTTTTCCATGATTAGGAATAAAACTTAAAAAAAAAATCAATGAGTGATTAATTAACAATGGAAAGAAATGACAGGTTAACCATGGAATGAACAACATAGCCGCTAGGGCATGGAATCTCCGATTTAAAATGGCTGCAAACTCTCTATAGCTCTTCTATCAAGAGGTGCAATCTCTTTCCTCATACTTTGAATCTGATCTGGCTTGTGCCTTGATTGGACCAGCAGAACAGAACAGAGCAGAAGTGATACTATGCAATTGCCCAGCCTAAGCCTCAAAACAGTCCTCGTAGTAAACTACAGTAAGTCTAACTTCAAGAGATCAAAACAGGAAGGTGAGGACACAGAGTGAGCTCAACAGTTTGTAAAATAAACTGGAACTCTCATCTAACAAGTACATGAAACGGAACTGCAAACTTTGAGCAATGAAGACAAAGGATGCAAGTTATGATGGATGACACACGCTAGTTGGATCTTAGCAAGCTTCCTCAATTTACACTGGTTCCTAAGGGACCAGATATGCCGGCATCTGTGGACAATGAGCCTCTCAGCACAAGTGTGATCCAAGTGGGCTGTACTTGCTCTCTTTGTTCTTGCAACCTCCTCCAAGCACCTGTTCCCCACTCTGGCCCCAGCAGCTGTGCCTGTACCGGTGGCCACTCCAGGAACGACACCGCCACATCCCAGAATGTCATTGACACCAAGTTAAGAAAAGATGAAATGTCCTGTCCCACAAATAGCTGATTTGGGAACATTTAACAAGGTAAATTCTTAAGAGAACAGATACTCTCGTGGGAAATGTGATGAGCTTATGTCTTAGAACATTTTGACTATTTTTTCCTTTCCTTTCCTTTAACACTGTGATGTCATCAAATACAGACCCAGTCCAGGAAAATCTGCACTGCTTTCTGGGTCACCACACCCAAGTTCATGTCCAACACACAGAGAATCTATTTGGCTATTACAGCCAGATATCTTCTACAGGATTCGTGCTTCTCACATTTACCCTTTTCGGGAGCCCACAGAAGAGGAGTATTGAGGGCCCTGGCTGAGAATCAAAGTAATAATGCACTTTTTACCCACCTACAACTTCCTTTGCAATGTCAGTAGACACAGGATCCAGTGCTGGATTTAGGAGCTGTTCCAACTGCAGGCAGCCCCTTCTCATCCTGTGCTGTCTCCCAAGACAATGCTGTCACCCCTGCAACCAGTACCCAGATCCCTAGGGAGACTAAATTCATGCCATGTCTTCCCCAAAACCACCTCTTAACTCTAACAGTCATCTCAAACATCCCATGCTCCCACGCCCTGAGGCCAGCTCACTTCACCCAGGGCAATCAGCAGCAGCTTACTAAATACCATCTACGTGCCAAGAACAATGCCAGCTGTCCTTGTCCATCTGAACCCTTGGGCAATATTTCATTTTCAGACACAGTCACCTATGTGAGGGCCTCTCAGGTCCTTCGTGGACCACTCTGACCCACCCTCCTCATAGGCCTCCTGCTGGGACGAGGGCTCTGAGCAGCAATGATGTGGACAAGTGAAAAACCAAAAACAAATGCCCTAAAGTATCAGTATTTAAAAACCCTGATCTGACTGTCAGTCCAAGCCCCATTCCAGGCTCACAGCCATTTCTGTCTATAACACACTCTCAGGATGTAAAGAACTCTCCAACACACACCACTAAATGTTCTGGAATTCAGAAAATCTTGGTCTTTTATTTCTGTTCCTTGGGTTAAAGTCACTTGCCTTTTAGTCATTTTCCTTATAAATGTACTTCTACTGGGGCAACTGAGGAGATGGGGAAAATGAATTAAAATCAGTGAAGTTTGATGCTCTTAAGCAACTCTGGCGATGATGACGATAATGATACAGAAGAATGACCAGGAAACAGAATTAGGGTTCCAAGTTGGGATGAATTTGCTAAATGCATGTCTATGTCTGTGAACCGGCTCATCCCATTTGCTCAAAACTCTGTCTTATGAGGCATCTCCCACCAAGGTGCTAAGTGCTGGGGACCAGAGGTATGAGCAGAGAAAGGGACCCCAAGAGGACTGGCCCCCTTAACCAAGCAGGCTGGGAGCCCTAGTCAACGGGCGTCATGGGGCGTCACTGGACCCCAGCTGAAAGCACTACTACTTTGAACTCTATCACCAAACCACAAACAATATTTTCCTAATTCCTCACCATGCTCCTCCCACCCCCACCTTTTTTTTAACCAATAGTGGGCACATCCCCTGCAGCCTGGCAGTCAGGGAGCTGTCTTCGGAGTCCATCAAATGCTGAAAGAAAAATATCCAACTACTCAATTCTTTTTAAAAGAATAAATAGATCTAAATTTAATCCAACTTACCCTTGTTTCCCAGGAGAAAGGGGCAGAGTGCTCATCTTGCCAAGTTATATCCTGAAATAAAAATTCAAGAGTAAACCTGAAATCCAAACACAGATATACCCATGCAAACATCCACCCAGGACCATAGGGGAACCAAAGCTCAGGAATAATCCCAGCTCCTGACTCTAAACAAGCCTGATGCTTTGACACTCTGAATATAATGAGCTGACCGCCTCGGTCAGATTTCTTCCTCAGCTTTCCAGCTGAGGCTGCCAGACACTCCCCTCTCCCCAGCCAAACAGACAATAGGGAATGCCAGTGAGGCCCCGCAATGGACTCAGATGAGCTGAAGTAGGAATGGAAGAGAGCTTGATGGTTTTAGTAGAATCAGGCACAGACTCAGCCCTGAACAATGATTAGCTGTGTGGCCCTGGGAAGATGACTTAGACTTTCTGAGCCTCAGTTTTCTCATTTGTAAAAGCAGAATGATACTTCCCTTGCAGGGTTGTTGTAAGGATTAAATGAGGTAATCTGGGAAAAGAATGCCAGGCCCTAATCTGCCAGTCAGTGCCAATACAGGAGGAGCTCCTCTCCCCAACAGGCCTACTGGACTGCTCAAGGGCATGGATCAGCAGAATCAATGAAGAAAAATGCCGGTGTAATGCATGTGACTAATTCTAACAAGAACTCTGAAATCACTCCCCACCCCCACCAAACAGAACAGGATAGAAAGAGCCCTGTAGAACCATCACCACAAATTTGACCTTGGATCCAGTATGTTTTGTTCACTGGCCTGCACAAATGACTTGGGGAAGCCACCTTTCCTTAGATCCCACCCCGCTACCTGCAGTTATTCCTGTGCCAGCAAATGTCTCATCTGTGTCCAGCTTTAACTGGGTAACGTTTGTTTGTTTGTTTGTTTGTTTGTTTGTTTTAAGAGATGGGGTCTAGGTATGCTGCCCAGGCTGGACTCAAACTCCTGGGCTCAAGCAAAGCTCCTGCCTTGGTGTCCGGAGCAGCTGGGACTATAGGTGGGCACCATGTCTGACTGCTTCTACGGGGATCATATTTTCAGAATCAAAAATCAGGACACATTGGGTGATACAGGCTAAAGTGGGATAAAATATTTTAAAGTGAGATTATATCCATATCTCCCCCAAACTCCAGGTGATATACGTCCTTCCTAAAGTATCCCTGGATAAATGTCTTCTTCCTACCCACAGGTACACTGACTGCCCCCCCAAGTCAGGTGGTCTGGCTTCCCTCTCCTCTACAGGGCAAACCAGTTCTGCTCACAGACCCTCTTCTTTCAGTGTTGACAGAGTCTAGGCCACCCCAGCTTAGCCTCAGATACAAGGGGCAGATGCCAGGGCCCCGCAGTGGGAGTGCCTCACCAACACATACGTGTGCACTCAGCCTTCCAGACCCAGAGCTTGTGTTCTCTGTGCAGACACCTCCTAACATGAATGGCCAGTGGGAGATCAGTCTTTGAACTCCAACAACGAAGGCATGCCAGGGTCTGAGCAGCTGAAGGCCTATTCCCAAGAAGCTGGGACAGGGAAGGAAGTGTGTGATGACTCCTCAGCACAGCCCAAGCACAGCCAACTCTAGATGACAAGGGCAACAGAGCAGGGCCTTTGTCCACTCCTCTATCCCCAGAGCCCGGAAGACTCTTGACTGCCCGTAGAGGACGCTCACTCACTCTTTGAGAGTATGTGAATAAACAAACTCTGTACAAGCCCGACCCTTTCACAGGTGATTCTCCCCCACAACCTCCCCCTCCCAACACTCACACTCCCCCAAGACTTCCCAATGTGAGGGCACAGGCTCTTCACAGCTCCTGGCCCCAGGAGGAAGAGCCAGCCACCGACAAGGTAGAGATCCCGGTCTGTGTCCCCATGGCTGTGCTGTGTGCCTTGGCGGCTGTGCAGTGGGGACTGGTACATTTGTGGCACAAATACTTCACAAATACTGGGGATAAAGAGCATGGAAAACCCAGAGAGGAGACTGTCGAAAGGCCAGAACCCAGGTCTTTATTTTCCCAGGAATGTATATAAAAGAACTAACTACATTTGTATCAGGAAAAAAACACCAGTAACGAAGATACTAGTTATAAATATTAAGAATTACAAAAGTGGGGGAGAGCCCTGCAAACTGGGTTAAGCTGCATTAAAGTGTTTCAGTCCGTTCTGAGAACCACAGTGTGTGCAACGAGTCAACGCGTGCACAGTAAGATGACCCCCATCCTCAAAGTGTTACAGACATTCTCCTGTAATGCCATTTGCTTATGATCCTGACTTCTGAACTGGTTGGTATGCATTACCTCATGGCTGTCAGGCAAAAACCTTTACAAATGAGAGGGACCACTGCCTTTTTGTTTGGAATTTCAGTTAAACTCAAGTTACTTCCCAATGTACAAACTTTGTTTCTCCAAAAATGGAAATGGATGCCTGGAGGAATGTGAGTTACCAAAGTTTTGCGATTAGATGTCTCCCAGCAGAGGCAGAGGGCCAGCCTTCAGCTATAGGGGCTCTCTGTACATGCAAGGGGTACAGTTAAGCTAAATAGCCAAAGACCCTAAAATCCTATGATCTCAGAACCCTCTGAGGTCCCTCTAGAGGTAATCAAACAAGAAGGGCTTTGTTTTCACATGGGAAAAATAAAAGAGGCTGATGGAATATAGACACCATTTATTCTAGTCAATCATTCACTAACTCTTCGTGAATAAATGAACTCTGCACAAGCCTGGATAGTTTTACTGGTTGAGTTTCCTCCCCAGCCTCCACACTCCACACTCACACTCTCCCTAAGAATTCACCAGCTCAGCTCTTAGCCCCAGGAGGAAGAGCTGGCCATGCACAGGGTAGAGGAGAGATCCGGCTTTGGATCTTTGGAAAAACGTAAATGGAAATCAACTGGCAAAGGTGCCCCTTCCATCCAGAATCCAGCAGGCCACTGGCCCCCAAATGGAAAGAAGAAGTGTGTGAATACCTGTGGGGCAGGCAGGGGGCAGGCCCACTGGACAGGGAGGGGCATGATGGAGCTGGACTCCCCTTTTCCTCCTTATGATTCAAAATATTAATTAGGTAACTTGAGCCCCTTTGAAATCTGCAAAGATTAAAATGATAAGGCTTTTGGCTTTGTTTGGAAGGTGGCTCTGTACAAGACTCTGAGGAACAAAGGCTTAGCCTGGAGCTTGGTGACAGCCAACTCTCCAGTGGCTGAAACCCGTATCAGCTGAAATTCCAAGGGGGTCACAGGAGGAGAAAGGGTCACACTGTGATTTCTCCCCAACTTAGTGTCGAGTCAATAGTCTTTTGTTTGCTCCAGCAAGAAACGAAGTCAAGGGGCAGATTCCTTGGGTTTCTGTAATTCTGAGCTCATAAAAAACACTAAAGCGCTTTACAAAAATAAACATGCCAAACAAAAATGTGATGGAAGCTCTGATGTCAGCTGTCGGCTGCACGCTCTAGCCACAAAAAGCTCTGTCGGCAGTAACAGGCTCCCTAGGCTCTTGGATGCAAACGGCATCAGAATTGTGAAGTGGGGGCACCACTCACACGCATACAGTGCTGCCCTTTCTTCTACTCCCATGGTGACCAGCAGGCAACCACAATGAGGCCAGGCACACGCTTTCCGACCAAACCCATGTGCTTTTTCTAGGATTGCTTGAGAAGCTCTCCCACCCCGCTCTCCAGCACCTAGGATCTGAAATCATCTAAGTGCCAAAACACATCTGTTACTTAGGCCACCTGACAGACAGTAGGCTTCATGTTGGCCAGGAGTTATCCTCAAATTCCGTAAGAGGTAACCATACCAAAGGCAGCACTGAATCCCTCCAGAAACAATGACTTCTTTGTAGTACAGCACAGAAAGATGCCTCAGGTCACCAAATCCCAGAGGAGAAAGCCAAGAAGCAGAGGGGAAGCTACAGAAAGCCACCAGAAACACAGAGCACTTGGCAATTATCAGAGGCCAGTCCTCACACGGCTCCAAGTACTCTGGGATAGATATACACACAAACAACCTTTTCCTCTAACATTCCAGGGACCTTGAGTACTTGCTCTTCTCTGGGAAACTTTCATCCAATTCAGTGTGTACCTCCTAAATCCTAAATGAAACAGAATCTTAAAAAAAAAAAAAAAGAACATATATTTTTTGCCCATAGTACTGGAATACATGTTTGCATGATATCTCCAGCGTTGACTTCTCTACTTCTTGATAAAAAATGGATAGTAGGGGGCTTAAGAACTCTGTGGTTCCTAGGCACTTTTATTTTTGGAGGCTGCAACCAGAGGTGTGTTGGACCAGGCTTGCACCAACTAACGAGAGTTGATTATAAAATTTTGAGTACTTTCTTGAAGCTGTTGTTAAACATTTTGTTTAACTGCCATGATTAAGAAGGTAAATTACAGAAATGTGATTAAATCCATTGTAGTAAAAATAAAGGTAACACACTTCACATCCACAAGTCTGACTACTGACAAAAAACAGAAAATAGAAACTGTTGGTGAGGATGTGGAGGCACTGGAACGCTTGCGCACTATTGCTGGGAATGTTAAGATGGTGCAGCCATTATACAAAACAGGTCGGCAGTTCCTCAAAAAATTACACATACAATTACACATGCAATTCCAGCAATTTCGTTCGTAGGTATATATCCAACAGAACTGGAAGCAGAGGCTCAGAGATCCTTATCCCCCAGTGTTTATAGCTGTGCTATTCACAATAGCCAAAAGATGACAGCAACCAGGTATCCATGACAGATGAATGCATAAACAAAATGTGGTCTAGCCATACAATGGAATATTATTCAGTCTTAAAAAGGAAGGAAATTCTGATACATGCTTCAACATGGATGAACCTTGAAGACATTATGCTTAGTGAAATAAGCCAGACACAAGGATAAAAATCATACAATTCCACTTATATAAGGTACCTAGAGTAGGCAAAATCAGAGACAGAAAGTAGAATAGAGGTTACCAGGGACAGAGGCCGGGAAATGGGGAGTTATTGTTTAACATATACAGAGTTTAACTGTTTAAAGGATACAGTTTCACTTCAATAATAAG